GCACTTGGTTCTAACCTTTATATCCACACATAAGCCTACAGATGAATAACCAGGGCAGGAAACCAAGACCAAATTGAAGTTAAGCAATTCAGTTCTGAACCTTCAGAACCTCCCAGCAGCTTAATACTAACTGAGGCCTCATACAAACCAACAGACCCAAACGTGGGTCACAACATGCAGAACTTCTACCAGGAGTGAGTGAACAAGTATTTCCCCAGATCATGCCACCTTGGAAGCACTAAAAAACTTACAGGGCCCCCGGATTGGGCTATGAAAACAACAGAAGGACATAAAAGTTAGAAGCCCAAGTCAGACAATGCCCCTATAGATGATCAAATTCCAAAATTAATGTTAAGTCCACAGTCAAAAAGTAGACTGGAAGAATGAGGAAACAAAAAGAGAACCTGACCATAAAGAGCTATTATGATGATAGGGAAACTGAAAACAGGCAGATTGGATATAAGCCCAACAAGAATTCTTAGAAGAGTTAAAGAGATAAATGGGGAAAAAATGAGAACTATGCAATAAAATTATGAAAATAGAATTAACAGCATGGCAAAAGAGGCACAATACATTACTGAAGAAAATAGCTCCTTAAAAATGAGAATTGGTCAAATGGAAACTAATGATTTTGTGAGATGTCAAGAAATAGTAAAAAGTTAAAAGACTTAAAAAATGTAAGAAAATGTGAACTCTATCATGGGAAAAACAACTGACCTGGAAAATAGACCTAGAAGAAATAATTTAAGAATCACTGGACTAAGGGAAGCTAGATGGCTCAGTGAGTAGAGCACTGGCCCTGAGGTCAGGAGGACCTTATTTCAAATCTGGCCTCAGATACTTACTAGCTGTGTGACCTTGGGCAAGTCACTTAACTCTGATTGCCTCCAAAAAATAAAAATAAAAAAACAAAAGAGTCATTGGACTAACTGAAAGCTATGAACCTAGATATCATATTTGAAGAAATTATAAAGGAAAAGGGCCTAGATATCTGAGAACCAGTGGGCAAAGTAGAAATTGAAAGAATCTGCTGGTTACCTCCTAAAATAAAACCTGAAATGAAACCTCCCTGGAATATTACAGCTAAAATCCAGAACTACCTGGTCAAGGAGAAAATACTGTAAGCAGCAAGAAAGAAAGAATTCAAATACTATGGAACCACAGTCAAGATTACCCAAGATTTAGCAGCTACCACTTTCAAGGAACAAAGAGCTTGTACTGATATGTCTCAGAATGCAAAGGATCCAGCATTATAACCAAGAATAACCTACCTAGTAAAACTGAGTATATCCTATAGGGGAAGAAATTGATATTTAATGAAATGGAAGACTTTCACACATTCCTGATGAAAAGATCAATGCTGAATACAAAATTTGACATTCCAACACAAAACTCAAGAGAAACATAAAAGGATAAACATGAGAGGAAAACCATAAGGGACTAAACAAATTGAACTTTACCTTTTAATATAGGAGGGGATACATGTAACCCCTCAGAACTTTATCACAACCAGAGTTCTTACAGGGAGCTTGTTAAAACAGAGTATGGATATGATTCTATTATATTTGGATAACCTCAAAAGAAGAATGGAAGAGTGGGGAACAGGAATATACTGAGAGAGGGAACTAGGGAGAGGAAGAATGGACAAAATTAACTCATATAAATGGGGCACATAAAGGAGATTGTATATAATCATTGCAGTGGTTGGAGGGAGCCCACTTGAACTTCACTCTCATCTAAATTGGTTTAAGGAAAGAAGAATAAACATACACACACAATTGGGTACATAAGTTCATCATAATAGGGAAGTAGGAGGGAAAGAGGTTAAGAGAAACTGGTGGCAAAGAGGGGGATGATAAGAGAAAAGGCAGATTAAGGGAAGTAGTGGTCAGAAGCGAAAGAGACTCTTTAAGAGAGGACAGAGTCAAAAAGAAGGCTAAATGTAAGAGAAGAGAATATCATAATTGTAAATCAGAAGCTTTTTGCAGATGATATGATGGTTTACTTAGAAGAACCCTATAAAGTTACCTAAAAAACTAATTGAAGCAATTAACGTAAGCAAAGTTGTAGGATATAAAATAAACTCACACAAATCATTATCATTTCTTCATATTACCAACAAAATCCAGCAGGGAGAGATAGAGAAATTCCACTTAAAATAACTAGAAACAGTATAAAATACTTGGGAGTCTTATCTGCTAGGACATACACAGGGACTATATGAAGACAATTATAAAACACTTCACACAAATAAAGACAAATCTAATAAATGGGTAAATATTAATTGCTTATGGATAGAACTAGTCAATATAATAAATATGACAATACTACCTAAATTAGGTTACTTATTGAGTGCCATACCAATCAAACTATTATCAATCAAACTATCAAAGAATTACTTTCTAGAGCTAAAAAGTATTATAACAGAATTCATCTGAAGGAACAAATGGTCCAGAATATCAAAGGAATCAATGAAAAAAAAAATTGGAAGGAAGGGGGTGTAGCAATACCAGATCTCAAACTACATTACAAAGCAATAATCATCAGAGCAATTTGTTACTGGTTAAGAAACAGAAAGGTTGATCAGTGGAACAGATTAGCTACACGACATGCAGAAGCAAATGAGCAAAATAATCTAGTTAGACCTAAGTGGTGATACCATATGCAAATTAGTGGAGCATGAAAGATCCTCTAAATGGGGGGTCACAAAGAATCAGACACGGCTGAACAACAGAATTAATACAAAATAGTTTGGGCAAAGGAAGGCACTAGCAGCTGGAGGAAAGGAGAGAAGATCGTCAGACTTCCTTGTCTGACTAGACTTGAAGTCTGGAAGATGACAGCATCCTAGATTCAGAGTTGGGAAGGAACTTAAAGATCAGCAGGTCCAACCCTCTCGTTTCACAGATGAGGAAACTGAGTCCTAGAGTAGCTCAGTGACTCAGCCCACATCCCACATCTAGTAAGCACCCGAGACAGGATTCGGCCCCAGATCTAACTAAATTCTTAGTCCGCTGCACTATTCTCTGAACTTATTCCACACCACAGGCACAGGTGAGGAGGGAGAGTACTTCAGGCATGGGAGGTGATTAATACAAAGGTGGAAGATTCAGCGATATGTGTGAGAGACAACAAGAAGGCTAGTTTGACTAGACCACTGAGTGAGGGAAAGGGAGAATAGGGGAATGTATTATGAAGCTAGAAAGGCAAGTTGAGGTCACATTATGAAAGGCTTGTATAATGTTAAAAAATAGAATATAGCATCTCTCAAGTAAAAGTTTGCTTTCTAATAACTAATCTCCTAAGAAATTATCTTTTGTCCACCTTCCAGGTAAAATGGATCCCTAACCACAAGTGGTTTCATACTTGGCACTTCTCCAGGCATGAGACCTTTGGGTAGCTCCTGAATTCATACATCTAATAGGGACATACTTCCAATTTCTTTAATCCCTTGAGATATTTGTAGTTCCTTTTTTTTTGCCAGATAAGATCTCAAGTCTATCAAGCTTAAAACCAGATGCTTTGGGGGAAAGTTACCGTCTATCCCAAGAATCAAGTTATGCACTATTTCTATAGAACACCTATTTAACCATCTCCTGACAATTAAAGCAGCATGTTCGACAGGTTACTTAACTTCAAGATAACCAATTGTACCTTAAAAAAAAAAGGAAACCCACAAAAAATCATGTTTTATGATCTAATCCCTTGGTGCATTTTTGTTGTGTGTATTGCCTATAAAAATGATGCTGTGGTAGCATATGCCCTCTGAATTAGCTTCTCTGGTGATAGACTTATGTTCAGTTGGCTATCCTTTCTCATCCATTTTGCCTTGTAAACAGACATACATGTATTTTCATGATAAATTGCCAAGGGTAATAGTGAATATAGTGAGTGGCTGATGAACAGAGTGAAAATTATAACTGGTCTCGTTAGCATCATGACCTAAACATTCTTTCTCTCTCTCTCTCTCTCTCTCTCTCTCTCTCTATATATATATATATATTTTATATATATATAATATATATATATATGTACACACACACACACACATTTCCATCTTCTCCTTATGTTAAGTTAAAGTTTTTCCATCTTCTCCTTATGCTAAGTTAGAGTTTTTCCATCTTCTCCTCATGCCAAGTATATACATATATATATACATATATATGTTATATGCATGTGTGTATGTTTGTATATGCACATATATGTATCTCTTTACAAACTTGTTATATATGTGTGTAATATTATATATAATGTATATTTTTTTGGTTGTTCATTCGTTTTTTCAGTCGTGTCTGACTCTTTGTGACCCCATTTGGGGTTTTCTTGTCAGAGATACTGGAATGATTCATTTTACAGATGAGGAAACTGAGACAAACAGGGTTAAGTGACTTGCCCAGGGTCGCACAGTTAGTAAGTGTCTGAGGCCAGATTTGAGCTTGGGAAGATGAGTCTTCCTGGCTCCAGGTCCAACATACCTAGAATTATTAATATAGATCAATTAAATTTGCTATGTAGGTGGCAAATGTTATGTGAGAGAAAATGACTTGGCAATTCATTTTGAAAATATCATTGCTTTATTCTTGGATAGTTGCTCTATTTTAAAATATCGTGTTGTTTTGTTCTTATGGTTCTATTAACTGTAGGTCTGTTCTTACTCAGTACACTTACCTGATCCCACATACAAAATTCATTCAGTTATGTGCATTTGAAAACCTGTCTGCCATTCATGTTATGTCAAGACAACATATACTTAAGCACACATCAAACTTAATTTTGATCCCGTTAGCAATGTAACATTTTATAGACCTGAGACCATGGCTTCATAAACAATTTTATTCCCTTGGTATTGAGTTACAGCACTCCTTAAAATTCTGTTATTCACCAACCCGCACTGTTCACTGGAGCAGGACCGGAAGGTTCACTACCTTTTTGGTGGAAAGGGGAAGGTCCAAGATGGAAGAAAACTTATCACTCATAAGTAGTATTTTTCTTCTTTTTAGAGCCATAATTCTCCAGACCTACTTCACTCTTCTCTCAATTTCCTGCCAAACCCTGGTGTACAGATTGCAAGAAAGTCTCTACTTTGGACCTCATGGCTCTCTGCCTTTGTCAACTTCTGTAAACAGTAAGTTTGGTGTTTCCTTGTGTTCTCGTGCTAAAAATTTTGTGCTTTTACTTAGCATAAGGAGAAGATGGAAAGGTTCGCTACTAACCTAAATAAAAATGTCTGTCCTACTCCTTCCATATCATATGACTTTGATTAATTAAGAATCCTTTTTTGGCAAAGATTTCTCTCTTCCCCCCCTTTCTCTCTCACTCTTTCTCTTCCTCTCTCTCTCTCCTCTCTCCCTTTCTCTCTCACTCTTTCTCTCTCTCTCACACCCTCTCTTTCTCTCTCTCTTCTTTTCTCTCTCTTTCTTTTTTTCTCCTCATGTCTGTCTCATCTCTCTCTCACACACTGTCTCTGAGTTTGCAATGGTCTTCCAAACAGTTTTACGTTTCTCAAAGGAGATATGGGCATCAAAATGTTTGGGGCATGTACAAGTGGGTTTTTTACTCTGCTTGTTGTCTTAGTAACTACAGAAAAACTAAACAGCTCACTGCACACATTTCCTAGCCTGTTTGGAGTACTGCCAGAAGAGAATGTTCACCGACTCAGTGAGGCTTTAAGGAAAGTGTTTCTAAAAACATTTAAAGATGAATATGCAAACATTGGTCCCCATTCACCTCATATTTTATAATTTCCAAAGCACTGAATTGTGCTAAGAAAATGTGTGCTGGTTTGAGTGGTCCTGTACCCAGGGCCATGATTTTTTTTTTCCCTCGGTGGGGGTGGCGACTGGGAGAGTCGCTTGCCTTCGTACAACCAGGCAGTAGGAATTTTGGCTTAGTCTGAATTGGTTTTCACAGCATTCCAGGTCCACCGCCCCATGTTCTTGGTTAGTTTGGTGTTTGTTTTGGGGTTTTTTTTTTAGACTTCAAGAAGTATCCAAAAAAATACTTTGCCATTTGAATGAGAACATATTTTCTACACAGGTGGTGATGAGGCTTATTGATGTCTTTTTAAAATAGCAGTTAAAATAGTGAATGATTCTGCAAAAAAAAAAAAAAAAGCCCAAGGAATTTTACTTGTCAGCCTTTAATGATTTCTCCCTTGAACCATGTAACAGTTATTAATTAGCCTAACTAGTATTCTGGGTTGACTGGGGGAGACTTAACACCTAGATCCTTAATATGCACCAAAGTAGTATGTTCCATTAAAAACTTGTTATTACTAATAAATACAAATTAGCCATTATTTTAAGTTCACCATTGAATTGTTCTAACAGCCAGCTCTAAGCCAGGTAGGTTATAATTTTAATTTCAACAATGACTCTTAGCAACTATGAAGAGGTGCCCTTGAGACTGTGTCTACCCACACTGGCAAGAATTTCCAAATACCTTTCAACCAAGCTATTTCTTTCCTTCTTGGCAAAGTCGGCCGCTGTGAAGAGCTTAAAAAGAGGTGGGAGGTAGAGAAGATGGGCCTCGCAAAGGGAGAGGCTGCCTCATTGACAGTCAGAAAGGAGTTGTCTGGAAAGCTCCCATCAAGATGGCAGAATAATTTTGGCACACAAGGAGGCACAAAAGAATTTTTGGGAAGAACAATCTTCCTCCTCCTTCTCCCTGTTGTCTGACAGAATATATGTCTGATATCACAGAGAGCGACATAAGAAATACCAAGATAATGAGTTTGATGTGGAGGCACGCAGCTTTCCTAATTCTGAGTTTCAGCTGCACTTACTTAGACAAGGGAATATAGAGAGGGGTCATTTGAGAATCCATTAACAAATACCATCTTATTTTTTTGCATTTTTCCCTTGAAGGTAAAGGTAAAAAGGTGATTAATGCTATAAATATGCTTCAGTGTGAACCTTTGCATGTTCACAGAGATAGCAGTGGTTCCTGATCACACAAGGAATTTGGATTGACAGCACTATGACTAATAAATACCCCCTTTCCCCTCCAGTATTTTAGCCTTTTTAAAAATTTATCATCATAGAAAATTTTAGTAGGTCAACTCTATACAGTACTTTAATATTATGTCTATTCGTACTAATAAAGTCATCATCATCCTTTTGGTTTGAAATGAATTAGGCCTTGGGGGAGGGAGGTGGTTATTGGAAGGAGGACTGAATGTGGAAGCTAAACCTTTATGTCTGAGCCCTTTAGTTGAGTGTGTTATCTGTCCTTAAAGGCAAATCCCTAGTCTTTCTGAGGGTCAAGTTTTCTTACCTACCAAATGCAAATAATAATTTATTGTTTAGTCATGTCCAATTTTCCATGACACCGTTTTGAGGTTTTCTTGGGAAAAATACTGGAGGGGTTTGCCATTTCCTTCTCCAACTCATTTTACAGATGAGGAAACTGAGGCAAGCAGGATTAAGTGGCTTACCCATAATCAATAGCTAGTAAGTATCATGAGTTGAACTCATAAAGATGTAAAGATGAGTCTTCTGATTCCAGGCCCAGTGCCCAGTCCACTGCTCTATCTATGTGTCCTCAAATTATAATATGTTTCTTTTAAACAAATATGGATAATATTACCACCTACTTCATGAGGCTGTTGTGAGTATTAAATGAGGTGATGGATGTAAAATGCTTTGGAGCATAAAGTCCCATACAGAGTTACAGAAAATTAACCACAATGGTGGGAGCAAAAAAACCGCTTTGAATGAAGCAGTTTATACATAGTATTTGATACAAACTGAGTCTCTGTGGGTATTCTGTAACTTTTCAGAGAGAGAGATGGATGAATGAAAGACTTCTACTATTTTAATTTCCCCGATTTCTATCCTAGATTAAGAGTGATTTAGCCAAATTCCCAGAAATTTAGAGTAACAGAATTCTAGGCATATCTAATTCACTAATTCAGTATTTATGGACCATATGCAGGAGTCATCTGGGCTCTTTTGCAAATAGACTGAAGGCCCTTAAAAAGGGTTGGGTAGAGTCAATCAGGCCATCTGCAAATGAGCAGATTGAGGTTCATGTGGACCATGAGCTTGAAAAAGTTTATGATGTTACCAGAGCTCCAGAAGTCTGTTTATAAAACAGAATGAAATTATTTTTGCTAATTGAAGTGTTTTCTTGCAATTCCTTTAAATAAGGTTTAAATCATAGAAGACTGGTAAGCAGTGTATATATATAAAAAAAAGCAGAAGCAAAAGAAGAAGAAGAACAAGAAATAATAATCCATAAAAGATGCTGTGTGAGAGCCCTTTGCCTAAAAGACAAATTCATGAGGCCTGGAAGATATGGAATGAGAGTCTTTTTGGAAGACTGACAGTGTATTTCAGTTAAACATATATTAAGCACCTATGGTGTTCAGACCTGGGCCTGCCATTCATACAGTCACATTATGGGACTATCTCTGAGGTTTTAGGGCATGTGTTAAGAATGAAAAGCTTGAAAATGTAGATGTGGTGCTACTGGAATGACTGGGATTGTTTTTCATGGTAAGCCTGAAGTACACTCTTTGATAGTATCTGGCTTCCTTGAGTTTGCTGGGCTTTCCAAGGGACAAAATTAGAGGGGAGGAAACAATACAGAGGAGCCATCTGGTAACCAATGGAGCCCAAAAGTATCATACTTGTCTTTGGCCAGGCTTCATTGTCAAGGCTTGGGCTGAGTCCTCTGCTGGCTGGTGTTTGTTTTTTGGTACCAGATGCCAAGGGCAGTGAGGTTGTAAGAGTTCTGACAACTCAGCATCAGGAAAACCGTGCAGGGTGTTGGGATCAAGTGCCCTAGCACCCACAGATGGTGGTAATATCATTTGCTATGATTATGATATTGTGATAGTGGATGCCACTTTTGGAAAGAAATGTTATTTAAGCAAGCCAACAGTTAGTTTCATTCATTTGAATCCTGGATGAGTTGTTATGAGTTTCTGTATTTCCAGTTGCTTTATGTTTCCTGGGAACTGGGCTCTGTTCTTTAAATTTTAAAGTATTGACTCCACAGGCCACTAATTCCCCATTTTCTTTACATTCAGAAATTGGGCAGTAATTCAGTTCAGCAATGGTGGTCTCCTTTCCCAGTGGGGCTATTATTGGAGAATGAGCACTCTTCCATCCAATAGACTATCTATAGTGAGGATGATAGTAAATGGAAGTACCCCTTCCTCCAAGAGAATTGAAGCTGTAAGAACTGGCAGTAGCACTTATCCCTAGGTTTTCTCTCTGAAATCATTAAGAGAGATTGAAAGAAGCCTTGGGTGTAAGAATCGTTTGAGATGCGTAGGGCATTGAAGGGAAAGAGCATGGATAAAGATCTCAGACTATTTGTCTTCTGCCTGTGGAGGTTGGGGAGGAGGTCTAGACCAGCTGACAGTGGCACTAGGGAGGTTTGGCATGCCCATCCTTCCTCATTCTCATTCCTTATGTTTGCCAAGCAATAACTTGCATCAGTTTGTAGAGTTAAGTGCTTTCTACCTCTGTGATTTTATTGGATAATGCCACATACTGATCAATTCAACTCAGCAACATTAAGACCTTCTCTTGAGTTTTTCCCAGTGGGGGTCCCTCCTGGGAAAGAGAGATTCCTACTATAAATTATTCAATTGACTTTCTGATACAAATCAATATGATATAAGTTGGGGTGGCAGAAACCAATTCTTTCCCAGGGCTTGATTGTTCCTGGATAAGCTGATTGCAAACCTTCAGGGCTAGGAAACAAGATCTGAAGGAATTGTAATATGGAAGCTCGGTCAGATTGTCAACTCAATTTTGTTCACTTCTACAATAATATCTTAGGATTTTTTCCCCTTAATAAAGTAAAATATTGTGAAGAAAGTCATACATTTTTTAAGAACATATGCACTGCAAGTTTGTGTTGTAAATTGAGGTACCAACGTGGTAGGGTGGCGTGGTCATGTGCCACCAACATGGTATGGTGGAAAGAAGGCTGGATGGGAAGTGTAGGTCCTGGGCAGCTCACTCATGGTCTCAGGGCTTTAGCTTCTTCATCCGTGAATTGAAGGATTTGGACCACGTCCTTATTCACCTGGCCCTTTAATCTCCTTTCCAGTTTTCTTACGGCTGACACCCCTCTGAGTATATCACGATCCAGCAACACTGACCTTCT